ATAGGACCATGTTCAGGAGTGGCCGAGGTGTGGTATGGGATTTTGGGGTTATTATTTTTAACGTATTGTTTTCTCAGGGAGAGGTGACTGCATCGCTAATAGGACCTTTCGTTGGCTTCCATCACCAAGCCTTGCTGATTGCATGCTTCTGGCCGGCCGGTAGAGGAAATGTGGGGTATGGCGCCAACGTGGGGTCTAATCATACGGGCAAGGCCCCTGACCAGGAGAATTGGCCTGGGGAAGGGACATTCTTCGGCTTGGCGTCCAATATAAAGTACCCTTTCAACTTGGTGGATGCGCCGTATTCTCTTATTGCTACTGGAGTCAGCTGTTTGCCGCAAGCGATAGGGGTAGGTGGATGTAGGATGTGGAGGAAATGTGGTATGATTGGTTTTAGTTACCATTTAGTCTGGTGAACGAGTCAACGGAGCACATCTCGGGTCTTTCTCCTGCTATCAATGAGGTTACACCAGGATGGATGCTCAGCGATAATATGTATTCGCTCTTCCGAAATGAAGCCAAGTTCGAATCCCGGCAGGGGAATCTTCCTAAAGATGGGGTTATGTAAGGAATTACCTTGATGTTAGTGGTTGTGTATGAGGTTCACATTCAGGTATCAATACTCAGTGTTCCGACCAGAGATAATGGATAGAGTTGTCAAGGCTCGTGATGCTTTGAAGGCTGTGGATCCTAAGGATGCCCGTCTGAGGGACGCGAAGGGCCGAGCAGTTTATACTGGTGGGAAAATATAAAGCACATGGTGATGTATATGGTGACGAGGTGAAAACTGTGAGAGAAAATTGTTATTGGTTTTTGTTAATTTTCATCAGAATTCGTATGTGAAATTCTATAATTAGTGAGGAAACTCCTGGGCTCAGCTGAAGAGAGCGAACATATATTCCTACTCCAACACTGTCTAGGTTAGACGGGATCGCTTAGAAGAGATCGTTATGGAATTTCGTGGCTTTCCCTTGGTACTTTGGATGGGTGGCCATGGTGATACTTGTTGGAATGATGAGATAGTTCAGGGAGTTGTGGTATCGGAGAAGTTTGTCGTTCAGATAAACAGATCGCCATCTTGGGCAAGAACTGGATGAATGACTCGGCTCGACTCACTGCCATCAGAACCTATTCGACATTCCTTCAATGGTAATATAATCCTAGACTATTATTACTAACCCAGCGGCGGGCGCGCGCTTTTGTCAGTGGGCTCTTCTGTTTAGGTATGCAATTAGAGGTTTATGGAGGAGG